ATTAAATTTACGCTAGACAGTAACAATATATAAATGAAGAACGAGAATTAAGCAAAAATAAATGAAGAAAAATAATAAATCAAAAAATATAAGAGTTAAAATGAAAATTATAAAAAGGGTTTAAAATAAATTAAACATTGCATTGTTTTTATTGATTATTTATATTTTAGTACATGGGTATGAAAAATGGGTGGATTTTTATAAGAGAATATATGTCATGATTAAAATAATTAAATAAAATTTGAAAATAATTTTTTTTTTTTTTAAAAACGTTACTCCCATAAAAATCTTTAGCTCAAATTAGTCGAATAAAATATAATTTTGATAAATGTTTTGTTTTAATGAATTAAAAATGAAAACTAAAAACTTAAATATAATATTTATATTATCTTATAAATCAGATTTATCAAAAGTTTTAAAAACAATTTTTAATACACAAGGTACTATAAATTTATGTAGAAAGTCTTAAAAACAACTTATAATGCATTAAGTATTACTACTTTATACATTCAGTTTTAAAATCTTTTAATCTACAATTAAAATAACATATAGTGCAAGTTACCAATGCATATTATTACCTTTTCTTTTTATGTTCCCAAGATATTTTTGACACATTTCACTCATGTCTTCACTCTGTCATAACTCTGTCTTCTCCTCATCCCTAAGGTGATATTCAAACTGCTATTCACCATGAATTATTATAAGTTCTTTCATTCAATTGCTCTAGAACTCTTGGTCCCGTTCTCAATCTCTTGATTCTTTGCTTTTGGTGTAAATCGAATACGTTTGTAAAGTCATTTAAAATGTTGGATTTTAAATTGTCATGCAATTTTTTTCATCGTTCGATTGTAATTGGAACCATAACTCTTACTTATTCAAATTATATTAATATATAAATACTAAATGTAACTCAAATCATCATTAAATTTTCTCTGATAAAACCAATAAAACTTTAAAATCGTTAAAATTGACGGCTTCTCCGCATTACGATGATACACAAGTATAAAATGAATTGTAGTTTCCTTTCTTCTCTTTGTTTCTTTCTTAGAAGTTGAAGGGCAAGGTGACAGGAGAGATGGCAAAGCAGCAGAAAGAGCCTTGCAAGAAGGAAGCCTGCGACATTCAATCTTGCCTATCCAAGAACAATTTTCTTCCCCAAAGGTACCCGATTTCATTCTCCTTTTTCTGTTTTTGCTTAACCTAGTTGCTTGTTCCATCGATCACATGTTTCTACTTCACTTTCGTCTATCAAGTTCATGATCGCTTCTTTAATTCCTACTCCTTTTGGGATGTCGATTGCAGAATTAGTGTCATTGGTTTGTATTTATGTTGAAATATTTCACTGGAACTATGCTTCAACGTGTTCTTGGAGTAAATATTTAAGATCAGATTCGATACTTCATCTCAGCTGAAAATCCTTCGCACTCGCTTAGGGTTATGTTTTGCCCAATTCTTATTTACCTCCCTTCTTACTAAATTGGCATTGGAATTCTTTAAAATGCATCAAAATGTAATGAAGTTTGCTTCCAATTTAGTGGAAAGATAAAGACTGTTTTCCCCAATCAGTGCTACATGGTTGCAAAATTTCTTATTTTATACCATTTTTGAGCTCTTATTGTAACATTCGGTGATTTTGAAATTCGTCTATGAAATGTTTACAGAAGGGTTATGGCCAGTGGACGATAAACCTGACATCCACGTTATCATATGTTACAAGATTGTTACATTAAATAGGAAAATTATAAACTTTACTCCATTGGTTGAACAAAAAACTTATTTGTTACACTAAATAGGAACCAAGGCAAACTTCATTGCATATTGCACTTCTTTAAACAATGATAGTTGTTGACAGACAAAGCCAAATCTGCTAAGGTATAACAGCCATGATATTGACTGCTTCCATCCTTTTGATGTTTCTTCGCCGAGAATCATATCAAATATAGTTGGCGAGTCACACCAACTTTATCAAATGATGTATTCTCAAAAGGTGTAATACCAGAGTTTCTTTTCTTAAGGAGGTTGCTTCCAATTCCTGTATTTCTCTAATGTGGGTTTTCAAGATGAATAGCCTTTTTCTCATCACGGTATTCATCTTCTATGATCATTGGATCTTGGTATGTAAGCATTAGACACATCATAAACCATATTACATGGACAAAAGTTTTGCATTCAGATGTGTATTAGGGAGGAGCATTATGTTGCTTCTATGATTTCCTTCACCCTTTAGTTAGTGTTAATAATAGACTTGTTATTTCTGCTTATCTAACTAGCTCGTCTTCAGGTGCATCAGAGTTATTCAATTGCTACAATCGTGCTGCGAACAATGCGAGTATAAATCAACTCATTGTGGCTCTGTTTCTGGTCTCCTGAAGCAAATAAACAAGTAATGTGTGTACTACGAACAAAAGGGGCAGTGAGGAATTGAGCTCTATTTTTGTGGCTTTCTTGAGGATCTTATAGTGAGTTCCAACTCTTATGCTTTTTAATAATCAAATCTCTTGCATCCAGTAGCTACACACTAATTCTAGGACATAAACCTTAGCATATAGAAAGTGAGTGTGTGTGTGTGTGTGTTAGGAGGGGAGCGAAGGCGAAGGATTGTGTGAAAAGCGTAAGAAGGAATCTGAAACCTTGATCACTTTTAATCACATGTCCACCCATGAATTATGTTTTAGAAGAGAATTGATTTGGTACATGTCGATGCATCTCATTAGTGTTGACATTCAATTAGAATTGATCTAAAGGTGGAGACTTCTTCTTATGTTTCTCATCATAACTTCTCTTTTCATTGAAACACCAACCCGGCGAGTGAAATGTTAAAACGTCCTAGTTGAGTTAGCCCACCTATTTATAGGTTGTCCTTAGGTGCTTTTCTTAAGATACCAATAATCCCCTTTTGGGAGTTTGAGCATGTCCAACATTTATCCTGTAATTAGTAAAAGTCAAATAGTTTTTCCATCTTGGAGATTCTAGCGTTAATACAATTAAAATATTTAAAGCATTTAATACCCCCAACAAACTTCTCAAAATGGTAATTTCCTAAATAAATAGTGGATTGATGCACATTCTTTCTCCTCCAAAACAAGTAAAATAAAACATTTAATGCACATTCTGTCTTCCAAAATAAAATCTTGTTCTCTCTCATCCTTTCTCCAGTTTGGAGGATGATTAGGAGACCCTGTTGGAGCCAATTTTTATTAAAAAAAATTATTTTGGAGATATCGTTGGAGATGCTTAGGGGCTATGTTATGTTGAGTAGTTCCGTTTGTTGTGTGGAGAAATTATTATGCTTACATGGTATCAATTGACGTTTGTCTTCAAGTATCGGCCTCTCTTTGTAGCCTACGGCTTCTCTTTCTTTTTTTTCTATCTTCGGCAAGTGTCAAATGTGTAGCTTTTTCGAGCATCCTACCCTTACATGATTACATGTTTTTTTATCTCGTCCTATCGCAGTATCAATTGAATTCTGGCTGCAAACTGCAGGAATAAATGATGAGACAACGACTGATTCTTAACGTCTCTTGCTGAAACAACTAAAAAGGTAGAAGGTAAATCGGAGCACTTAGCATGAACAACAGAAGCTGGGGAGAGGAGTCTCTATGCCATATTCAAGAAATATTTATAGAACTTGTATACTGAACCCTATATTTTCTTTCTTGTTGGAATGTAGGCCTAATGCTTTTCAAACAGTAGTTATCAACTTGTACTTTCAGAACCATCTTTCTTTCCTTGATGTCAATTATTGAATGAATATATCTCTATGGAAAAACAGAGCATTTTGCAAGTCCAATCTGTTAAGACATTTGTTGAAAGTAGAACTAGAAACAACCAAACCATTAATGTTCTATTTTGGCACAAGGCTCTGGAGGGTTATCAAACATTTAAGAGATGGAAAAGAGGATGCATTTTGAAGGACGAAACCAATGCGCTTACAACAATTACAAGAGGGAGGAAGTTCCCAATTTCCAAAACCGATTTCTTCCTACCTAAACAAGATGCCCCATTTCCTGCTCTATCCATCCATGGTTGTACTTGTGGTGGATTCAATGCCGAAAATTGTAGAAATATGACCAAAAAATGACAAAAAAATACATTATGGAGACCTCGTACTAGTGTCTTGTCGTCTCAAGGGAATGCTTTCGCTATCTATACCATCTTCCTCATCCTCCATGTGCTTCGGAGATCGCACTGAGAGAGGTATTGGACCTGCAATTGACCATGGTTACAGAACCTACATCCCAAATCCTATTTCACAACAATTCTTCATCTTTTTTACCAAAAGGACACAAGTACTTAAAAGTGAAACGGTAAAACCTATTTCAGTCTTTATGAAACCCCCACAAGAAATCTTGATCTTTGAGGGTGCCTTTGAAAACATGAATCTGGTTATAGAAAGGTTTCCTTTCATTTGGTTATTCAAAAGTACTTGAACATGACATGGCAAATCCCATCATGAATCCTCAACAAGAATTCTTGATACTGATGGGTGCATTTGAGAACATGTACAAAAAGGGTTTATTTGGTTGGGTAAGTCAGTCCAAATTTATCTTTTGTGGGTCGAGCGACCTCTAAAAGACTAACCAAGTTTATAACATTATCATGGAACTGGAGAAGTAAAACAGCATACCATCAACCATGTCTTTGGTTTTGTGAAGAAGAAAGGTTCCAGAAAGGATTGTCACAAATCCACAGAGTTCCGTGATAATCTGGGAAGGATTCTGCCTATCCCAATCCTGCTCATAAAAATAAATCGGATACGCTTAACACCACAAACAGACCAATACCATACACAGGCTAGTTATTTGCATAAACATGGAAACAGATGAAGTTGCATGCATGATGAAAAAAGGAGAGAATAATATTGTGAAAGACAGACAAAAATGTAACATTTTCTCCATTAGTTTTCTGTTGTATTAGGAGAACAAAGAAAAGAAATAACAAATGAATGAAATGAGTAGAAAATGATGATCTGCAGGATCAAACATCCACAATTCATAGAACAACTAAATCTGATTGCAATAAGAAGTTTTGATCAAGTCTGAAAAGGTATCCTTGTAAAAAAATATTTATTCCATTAACAAATCCATAGATAAATATAGTAGATGTGTGGAACATGGATCATATCATCCTGCCAGAACAACCATCTATGACAATCTACAGTAACAAACCAAAACCAGAAAAATCATGCAAGATTGTTCAAACCTCGAAGACAAACTAGAAGATATCATGAAAATGTATTATCTTAAACTGCATTTATTAATCGATACCTGTGTACTCATTGGTTATACCATGGTAATCCTATATGTAACCATAATAAAACGTAAACAGAAGACATAAATTACCTTGTTCTAACATAATCTTTTGATCATATTTGTCTAGGAAATTCAATTTACTTATAGTTGGCAAAGAATTACCTTGAACATGATCACGCTTGCCAAGATCGTAAGAGATGTGAACATAACATAGTATATGGGGGAGACAACAGCTGTATTGAATGTGTCAAGTGCCTGCAGTCAAATATTGATACCCCAAAGGGAGGAGTATTAACAAAAGTTGTTGGTAAAAGGTCAGAATTTCATTACAATTGAACGCCAATAATGTGGCCAAGTAGGTAATAAAGAAAGGCACTCACTACAAGGATGCACACATGTCTGCAATTATAAATGCAAATAGAAAGTAAAAGAAAATATAGACATTATGGACAATTCAATTCCAATGATGATGACAACCTTAACCCATGCGAATTTATATATATAGGCACACACTCACATATGCATAGATACATATAAAAGTATTCCTCCACGTCCATAGGTCCACCAAATGGTCCCTAAGTGGTGTGTTGGGAGGCCTCATAAACTAGCCACCAAATATTCCTATTTTCAGTTAGGCCAATGAAATCCATTTATTGATTTAATCCGGTATAGCATAAATAGATAATTAGAAACATGATGATTGAATTCAGTTCTCTAGTCTCATATTTAGTAAGTCCCGAGCTCTTTCTTTCAGCAATCGAGTCACAGTTATCTAACATATTCATACCTAAGGCCACAAAGTGGTGACAGAACGTATAACTTGTATAAATCTTGACTATTTATCATGTGGGATACTTAACAAACTACAATCCAAAATATATGTGTGTGTGTGTGTGTTTGTGTGCATGTGTGAATGTATTATGTGTATCATCAGATCAAAAAGAAGGCAGCTGATTAGACTGATTCCAAGTCCAGCAATAAGAGGTTGATTTCACATTTTACGGTCTGCACTTGTCATGGTGACAAACCATCAACTATATACTATAAGCAGATGAACTCCTGACACCTTTAAGCAACGGGTTCGAAGTGCATCAACAACATCCAACTACACATCAAGGGCTCCTTATCCAAGCTGTTAATACTCTAGTTTCAGCGATCAGTTAATAATGAAAACACAATGTGGAAAGCTAGAATCCAGTTTGTCAATGTCACTATGATTCCACTTGAACATGCAAAACATTAAACAATATAACCAGTTCCATATGCCCTCTAAGAAAGAATGATCAACTAAACTACAATTCTGGCAAAAGAAATGGGGAGTAATTACCTTGTTTAAATAGTTCATTTGAGTGATGATACAAAGCAAAACAATGAAGGTGAAAGCCCATGTCTGGGGAAATACTAGCTGATTCATTCCTGATAATGTAAGCTTCAACGCAATGCCAATAGCTTTTACGCTCATGACCTGAAAGAAGAAAATATTAGCTGAACATGATAAGTGGGTATACCACGAGCAACTTGTAAAGAAATCACCCAGCTAATGATACATACCGACAATGAACCAACCAGCGAACAAACTCCAATGTAGCACATTATGTGTGTCTGGCCATATGATGGTATATAGTGAAATACAAGTATAAAAACAGCTATCAACACCAATACTGCGTATAGGACAAAAGCTGCAGAAAAGATAACAGTAGTTGAAGCCGAAACATGTCATAAGAGTCTAAGCTAAAGAATAACACGATCTGAAAAGAAGAAGAAACAAATTTTAAAGTTAAATCAAATTAACGAGGAAGTATTGCAGGAAGACAAAGCTGTTACCTGGCTCAGTAGCAAGATCCCATACTTCTGTTACTGATTCAATTGGACGTTCCTGAGGAGCATGTAGGACGATTGTGATGGAACCCACAACACATAGAACACAACCAAGAACTCCAAAAATATGTAGCTTCTCTCGTAATATAATATGTGCAAGTACAGCACTGCAATATGGTTTAATAAATAAGAATCACATAAAGGAGGAGAAAAAATATGGATTATATGTAGATTCTGATTTTTGTCATGCCTGATGATAATGCTGAGTGCGCCAAGAGGAGTGACCAGAATAGCTGGTGCAAACGCATAAGCTGCAAAATTTGCAATTTCTCCAACAATCACTGTTGAAATATAGAATAGCAGTGTTAGTATTCACATGATCAGAATTTAAGCAACTTTCCATAATGCTTCTCACATTCAGAATGAACAGTTATCTACCATCCGCCATGCAAGTATGAATTTATTGTTTTGTCCAGTTACTTATGTATTCTGAACGCTTTATTCGTTTCTGGTGTGTGGGTTAGTTACTTAACGGTGTGAACACTAAACAATTGATCGTCGGGACAACAAGGTAAAGAAGGCTATCAATTTAGGCTTAAAGGAAATGCTGGAGCATGATTCAAATAGAAATATCATAAAGCTTAAGTCTGAAGTCAATTTGATTGTTTTGAAGTAGAAGTTATTTTCGCAAGAAAAAATAGAAACAAGAATGATAGCACAAAGTTGAACCCTTTAGCATAAAAATTTAGAATAATGGCCAAAATCTCAAAGGACATACAAATATCTTGTTTTCATCGATGTGTCAGGTTCAAATAATGAGACTAGACAAAGTGCTAATGAAGTTTGGAGGCTTTTTGGAATCTAGATATTCTAGATTGCTCAAAGAAAGCCATAGCATGTGAACTGCAACTTTTGAGGTATTAACAGGGAAATAGCAGATGTGGAAGCATGTCAAATGAAGAAGTATATAGGAGAAACATTTGTTGTTATTTGGGATAGCGGAAGGATTGAAAGGTTGATGATGATGATGGGATAAATGAAACATCAACAAACTTCAGGAGTCTTCCCTGATCATGTAAGTGCATCTTATGGAACAGCAATAAGATGTGATGATTTACAAGGAAGAATATTGGGCCACAGAAAGACATGTAAACAAGATAAGTATAACCAAAATTGAGGTGGATTCATGTCATGTGATAAGGGATAGGATGAATTGGGTGGCACCGGTTGAGAAGCTAAAGCAACATTATTTGAGAGTGGGATTTACCGGGCCAGTTTGGTTTGTTTGAGTGTTAGATCATCCACAACGTTGACCTTTGAATGCTGGTTAGAAGAGAAGGCTTGTACCAATAAGAGGCCATTAGGAGAAGTAGATAAGGCCAAGATCAACATAGGGGAGATAGTTAAGAGAGAAATGCATGGATGGAGAATGCCTAAGGAGTTGACCGTACGTAAAAGCACCTGGAAGGTCGTTATTCATGTTCTCAAACCCATTTATGTTTGCATTTGAGATTCATTATTCAATAATTCTGTTTCATTTCTTTTCATTTTTAGCATAACTCCTGCAACTAATTTTGATGAAAAGACTGCTTCTTTGTAGTTACAAAACTGCAAGCAATACTAGTTGAAGTAATCTTCATTATAACATCCCTTCTTGCTTATGTGGCATGTTGTTTTGGTACTAGTATGGTTTTGCATTAGTATCATGTGAAATACATAACAAACTCCGGCAAAGAATTGTTAGAATGGAAAATTAAAATACTAAATTAGCTTAAGACTTAAAAGTTTGTGCCATAGTTTCATCATGCACTGGCTCATCTTGCACTTCGTCCCTCTTTTTTACTTTCGCCGGTATTCTCGATGGAGGAGCATATAATTTCGTTTCTATACCTTTTTATGGAAGACAAAATGTGGTTCGTATACCTAAACAAAACCTCATACCGGCTTACAATAAACATGATGCCTCCTAAAAAATATTAGGTGACCAAAATACACTGCCATCCTATCTCTACCATGGGGAGATGCATTCTAGACCGGTTTGCTGGAAAGGAAAAATCTCTTCCAACGAATAAATCCACGGAATAAAATATTGTGAGTCTCGTTTGTATTATGGTTTGTGTTTTTATTATGTAAACAGAAAAAATAATAAAGTTAGGGATGCACTGGGATTCTCAAAAATGGAAAACACTTATTTTGCATTCCAAGTCGATAGGAGGAACCAATTGAGCTTACTTATAAATCTGATCATGTTAGAGTTCGGGTCAGACAAGCCAGAAACAACCAAGTGGCCTCACAGGTTTGATCTCTTGATACTGAGAGCCTTTATTTTTGGTTCAAAGGCACTGAAGCTTCATGGATAGCATTTTATGAATCTATAGGTGTGGGTGAGGTGCACAACTGTTCCAGTTCTAGCACGGATTCAGTTTAGGGTCTAGAAAACCTTTGGTTACGCTACTCTTTTCCTGGTCCTGTAGATCCCATTCCCTTATCGTGTCTCCTAATACAACTCTTTTTTGCTTTATGAACAAAATAATCTTGGAAACCAAATTCTCCTGTCATATTATTTAAATTATTTTTTACTGCAAGTCATTAAACAACAAGAAACAAACATACTCACTCGTTATCATGCCTACCCACCATAGAGGCTCGTATAAGTATGAATATCCTCCAACTCCTGAGAACAAGGTAAAATTTGTTAATGGGACTAGATCGACAGTGTTATCAAAGCATATACTAAAAGCAAGCCAAAGCACATACATCCTGAAGCTAATTTGTATGCTCAAGATTGCTAAAATACATTATGTCAAAACAGGCTACAAAACAGATTAGGGAATCACATAGCGAAGTTCATTAGTTGGTTATTCATTGCAACAAACATTACGATATTTAAAGATCCTTGTGTTACGAATAAATCCATTGTACTTCCAAGTGATTACAACATACAGCAATAAGAGAAGAGTATGTAAGAGAGAAAGTGAGAGAGAGAGAGATAGATGCTTAAATGGCAGCAGCTCGCCCATCCTTGCAGCCATTAAATGTAAATACCCCACAAATGCAACCTCAGATATCACAAATACCTAAGGACAAACTCTATTGTCAAGTAATATAGACTTTTCGCTTCCTGTTACGTGAGTCCCTTCCAAGTGCATCAATCGGAATATAAGCCAACAAGGCCAAAAGGAGTCCAGAAATTCAGCCCTCTCAACATGAAACAACTTAAGCAACGTTCATCCCTGAGTTCTTCAACAACCACATGAAGTAGCATTATGGAGACAAGACAGGAACTTAAAGCAGCATGTGTAAAAACAAAGGTGGTAAGCGAAGGCATAATGGGGGATTAGTTACAAAAGAAAGCAGTCGTCCTGGTCCTCCTGGACTACATGTTTCCTGATGATGAAAAAAAGATTCATCCCTAATTCACATTTGTTTGAGGGGAGAGAATTGTTGATAACACTGTTGAACTGAATTTCCATCTATAGATCCAACATATTAGCATAATAGTCATCTTTCTTGATTGTGTGCCAAATAGAATGAGCTTCAAACAGGAAACACCAAATTCAATAAGCCACTTTGGATGCATTGTAACAGTCAAAGGATGCTAAGATCATCACCCGTCCAAGCATGAGCATTGTTTCCCATCTTTTACATGGAAATACTCCCTCTCGTAGCTCTTTGGGAAAAAGGCCATCCTCTGTGACATGAAGAACCTATGTCCATGGTCCATTACCATCCAGGTCGCCCTTTTCTATACACATTCAGAGTTCTGTCACCCACTGAACGAAAACTTTCCTCCTCACCGGTTTCTCTCCATGTGAATAGCCTACCTCTGCTTCAAGATGGCCATCAATTAATTCAACAAACACCTGGATCTTCAAGAGGGTAGCATACTTGAATCTCAAATGGTAAGTTGATATAAAATGATAACTCAAATGGAATTGACTGAGAGCTTCTACCATCTCCATCGTTAGTGACCATTTAACTTCGATTTCTCAAAAGAAATAATATGGATCAACCCTGAGGTGAACTCCCAAATATCTTGATTGATAATACAAATATGAACAACGACTATTAACAATCAGAACTTGAATCAACCACCCATTCTAATTTCAACCGGACCACATTTTGAGAGGTGAAGTGAGCTCAATTTTGCAAAAAAGAAAAATGTCAGCCAAGGAAAGTAATATGTTGAACTGTATGATCAGGTCATCTGCAAATCACAAATGAGAGGCAAACCATCTAAAACGTCACTTAGACATCTCTCCTCCATGTCTGAAATCTATTTAACGAAAAAGACCTTCAAATACTGTCAACATTGGAAACATATATTATAATTCATAAAGATAGATGAGTTTGGATGGCCTCTATAAAATATCACTGAAAATCAAAACCGAAGATGGCCAATGATTGCCCCCATCAGACCATCACGAAAGCAAACCAAAAGATCTTCCAGATCTCTCGCTGTGTTTAGTAGGATTCGGAGTCCAACATTTTCCAATTGAAGTCAGCAGAAGTCCATAACCACTTAAAACTTAATTAACCTAGGTGCAGAACAAATCACTAACTTCCCAGCAGATCCAAAGGGAAAATCACATTGAAGTCCAAAAAGAAATCAGAATCATTCTATAAATAATAAGAAAAACAGAAACAAGGAAATTGCGATGTACAAAAGTCACCTGCTCTAATACCAGAGGCGCCTGCTTTCTTAAGACCCTTCTTCTTAACAATGAAGCTAGCACCAATAAACAAACTGGACGACAATGCTAAAACCAAACCCTTGATATTATCCACAGACATGCCCCTGTAAGCATCCTTCCAGCTGTGGGACGCCATTCAACATCAAAATCAAGAAAAACCCCCTATCACCCTTTTGCTTTTGCTTTCAGGGCTCCATTCTTTTTGGTATAGTTTGGCAAGAAATAGTGAAATTTGAGCAGAAACTGAAGAAAGAGACTGTTGGGGATAAACGATTTGATATAAGGGTGTGGAATGAGAGAAGATCCAGTAGTAGCGTTAGGTGGGAACAGCTGGAGAGTGATGTGGTATTTGCATCAGATCGGGGAAGAGATGGAGGAGATTAATGGAGTCTGATTCGATTTAATTATTGAAAAAGGAAGGGTGGTGAAGAAAATGGACGACTCCATCACTCCACGTCTCATCCGTTTCTTCTCTCCGTTCTTTCCCTTTCACTTCTATGTATTTATTGAAAACTACTAATTTCATTTTTAAAGTGAACTCCACTTTTGGTTTGGTAATATGTATTCTTTTTAGAGTAAATTATGGATTTGGTCCCTACGGTATATTGAAAATTACGAATAACGTCTCTAAATTCAAAATATTATGGTTATAGTCCCTGTGGTTGTTATTTTCTTATGACTAAGATCCCTGAACCAAACGGCCGTCCACTAACCTCTGTTAACTCAGGGGTAAAATCGTACTTTTATCTTTTTCCCACATTGCATGAGTCACCCTATTTTATGTATATATACACATATATACATGTATTTTTTTTTTACAGTTTCCTCCTCCCTAATCTCTATCTTCTTTTCAACGATGACCGTAACCTCTTTCTCTCTATTCTCTCGCTGGAGACCGCATCTTCTTTTTCTCCTCTTTCTCACCTACGACTACTGACTTTTCTCTCCTCTCGCTCATCAATGACCACTGTCATAACCCCAACCTTTTCCCTAAACCATCATTGCATCAATCTCCTTTCCTTCCTTCTGTTAGCGTTTCCTGTTCCATGAGATCTTACCACCACAATCATTGATGATGAAGCATAGAAAATTGAACTCTATACCACTACACCAAAGTATCAACGTTGAAGTATTATTAAACGCCACAACCAAACAACAAAGCATAAAAAACAAAAACCTAGAAGGGGGGATGTTCCACTTAAGCATCTACACCATCCTTCTCTAGAGCCTTTATCTTGATGGGTTGATTCAAATTCGATTTCATTAGGTTAGGGTTTCTGTTGTGGTGTGAATCTGATTTTGGTGGTGTGTGAATCTATGGAGCTTTCGACTTAGGGTTTTTGTTTAGTTGGGTTCAATTTAGGATTTTTTGTTTGAACATGATTTCTATACAAAGATTTGTATAATGATTAGAACTCTTGAATCTGCTTTTGTTGTAATATAAGTTTAATTTATTTTCATGAATATATTGTGGTGGATTTTTGTTTGATTTGAAAATTTCGTATTATTTTTGTTTTTTGTATCTGTGTTCTTCAATGGGTGTTCGAGGTGGTTTTAATCAGGGGGTTCTTTCACATGAAACAATTAAAAGAATAATTATATTTGTTATGTCTTGTATACTTTTAAAAGAATGAAAAAAGGGTATTTTGGTCTTTCTCTCCTTGAGTTAACTGAATTAACGAATTATGTTAGTGAGAGGGACCATAGGCATGAAAAAACAACAACCACGGGGACCAAATCTATAATCAATCGAGCATAGGGACGTTAGTCATAATTTTCAGCACATCACAGGGACCAAATCCATAACTCGCTCTTCTTTTAATTATTTTGATTTTGGTTCATAGAATTCTTAGTGTAAACTACAATTTTGATTCATGTGGTTTACACCGAACTACATACAAAGTTTTTGAACTTCATTAAATAATGTAATGATCATCGTGGTTTGTATTTTGCTATGAAAGTGGTCTCTTTAGTTAACTCTATTAAAAGATGTTCGTTAAATTAAAGGTGATTTTCATCCTTTTTTTTCTTTTTATGTCTTTTTCTGTTTTGCCTTTTACCCATTACCCATCCTGTCTGTCTGATTCCAAGATGGACTGGCTTAGGATTTAAGGTTTAGGGTTAAGAATGTAAGAGGTGCACAGGATCCCACTCAATCATCCCATTATAATAGGAATTATTTTACTGGTTGTAACTGTGTACCCACATGAAATCGGTTATTATTTCTCTATATATGATGTCGTCAAACATGTTTTGCATCTGATGCCCATTACGAAATTAACCAAAAAAAGTCCCCCGTAAAGGTGGAGTTTGGACAAAAACAAGTCGGGTGTAAGACGTAGGCTTGCATGTTGCTCACAAAGTTAAGATTAATCCCATTTGCAAAAATGTATTGTATTAAATTGACGTAGTTTTGAATTTTCTCCTGGTCAAATTGTGATTACTTTTCATTGGGTTAAACTGCAACTTTACAGATCTTCGGTTACCTTAAAAATTTATATCTGCATAAAAAAATTCATAGGTCTGCCACTGTCTGTTTCATATGCCGGTAAAAATATCATATTCGGCCATCTTCCACTTTCATCTCTCCCCTAAAAACACAAATGTTAGTATAATGTTATGTAACACCCTCAAAACTAGAAAGAACGATTAATTTAATTTTTTTTTTGCAATACATCAAATAAAGGGTAATCTATAACCAATACTTAAATTATCTTGAATAGCAAATCTAGATTCAACATCAACAATTGATAAACCAAGTCTTACATAAAAACTAGGTCAAGACCGAATGTTACGAAAATTCAATAAAGTCGTTATTTTCAAATGCGGAAGACGTCTTCAATTTGCTAATTACTTTTCGTGTCTCAAATTAGCACTCAGTTCTTTATAGTGTCACTAGTACCACTCCCCACTGAGGACTTAATGCACATCCCGACAAATAAAAACGATTTAGCTTAACGCCTAGTTAGTCAAAGTAGTTCTCATCATAATTAAAAAAAAACAATAAAATTGAAAGACTGATGATTTTAATCATAATTTTGCAAATGGAATATTTTTATCATAAAAGCAACATCTTTTCGAAACCCATCATTTTCTTGATAAAACCCATTAATAGAAACATTGTTTTATACGCAACCAAAACTCAATAATCACACAACCAAGAATAAACTATAAAACTTTAAAACGAAAAGCATAGCTTTAATCAAGTCATTTTGTATAATTAGATCATCTTTACTTTTGGAGGGTGTAAAACATCATAAGATGATGAGGGAGACCCGATTTACCATTGCTTGTGATGGAACACATAGGTAAGCCACAATTCAATGTTATATAAGCATCACTCATGGATAAATCAACATTAGCATCAACCTTATATGGGTCTTTAGTCAAATATGTTAACAAACCCAACTATATCTAAGTCTTTCGCTTAGGGAGTTACCAAGTTCAACCTTAGACCAGTATCTTGGGATCTCCCATATCCAAGTTAAATCTGTTCACTATAAATGACAGTCACTACGGACTACACAGTCAACAAGTTCAACTTTATCCAAGTCTTTACCTTGAGTCCCCGTTAAGGATCACATAGTCATCAAGTTCAATTCTATCCAAGCCTTTACCTTGAGTCTTTGTTGATTCGAACTTTTAGCTACAATACAGAGATAATTATCTCATTCAAACCAACTCTTCCAATGCATTGCAATTTAAATCACGACTCCAAATGAATGACCAATGCATTCAAATCATGTAACTTATAAATAAATATGTCATAACTGCATATAACTCCAAAAGCTCAATGTAGAGCAAATTAAACCAGACAATTGTCCTCAAAACTCATCTGAGTCAAATCAGGCCAAAAGCTCAATAACTCAACTAACTATACAATAAAAGTCATCAAAAATAATAAAACGCATTTAACCGACGTTTATACAAATACATGCTCCCAATACACGATTAACTCAAAAACTCATCATTGGTTGAGACAAACTGTTTTTCAAATAAAATCATATCCTTATATTTCTAAAAAATGCCTCATAACACAATAACGTGTATTTTCCAAACGATTTCTAAAACCAAATCCACTAAAATGCATTAATATTAAACACATTTTGAGATTATTCATTAAAACGTCCAAAAACCCAAACATAGGAATTTTACAATATTTATTAACCCAAATTTACCAAATACGCAAACTTCGTCAAATACTCAACACATATGATATATGTCAAGTAAAATACATTTATACTTCAAAATACACATTTTGACATTACATAGTTTTCACAAAACAACTTTAACTCACCTTGCTAGGTAGGTTACAAACCCATCTCTAGCTTCCAAAGTGGAGACTACTTTAGATCCACAAACATCTGACTCTATAAACTTTATATGGGTCACAATCAAACCTAGAATGTACCAAGAGCAACCCCAATATTAAATCCAAAGCAAAACCCTAAATATAATGCAAATCTCTCAAATCTTACTTTTTCAAATATAAAGATCTCAACAAAATAACTTGAAACCCTCAGGTTAGATCTTCTTAAAAAGCTCCAAAATGTTATAACTCCTAAAAGGAGGTGTGTATAATGTTTGGGTGCATATAAATTCACCATCTATGAAGTATAATCGTGCCTTCAACAATTTTCAATTTTGCCAGGTTTTGATCCCTCCTAGTAATAGTCGTTAACTTTCATCCGTTAAATAATAGGTATTTTATTCATTTCCAATTTCAATTGTTTTTATTAAAAAAAATACACACATATTGGTAGCTTAGGATCGTTCATGTCCACATAGTGGGCACGTAGTCTTTGTGCATCACTTAAGACGTAATTTGAATCTGCTCATTTCTGGGTCAAAGATCTGATATTGACATTTCAAAGTGATCGGCTTATCTGCGTCGAGTTTAAGTCATGTCTTAAGTGACCAAGTTTACGAAGCGGTAAAGAGTAAAAACACCCAAATACTGTATAAAAATCCTAAGTTAAACCCTCACACACCCATATAAATAAATTAGCTCATAAGAAACATAATATAAGACAATAAATAAGGCTGAAATATAACTTTCATTAAAATAAAACTAAATTATGTTCCCACAGTGGTGAGACTGTGGTAGCAGATTACAACTTCAATAAAATAAACTGAAATGTTAAGCTTAAATTAAGACAAGAAGACTTCAACTAGTAGTGCTTCCGAAGGATGATCTTCAAAGTGAACTCAATGCCTCTTTATATAGGGGAAGAATGGATAAGGATGATAGATAATATCCAAGGAAAATTAAGCACACAAAAACCTTATGGCAAAGACCATCTAACAACTATTTAAAAAAAATCTGAAATACAATTTCACAAAGCAATTCCAGCTGTAGGAGATCTTTAATCAAGATCTTCAAGAAAATATTCTTCACAAAGTAGAAGCCCATCAAAAGTTCGTAAACTTCCCATAGTGGTAACACTGTGCGCAGTTGTCAGA